GCCGTGTGCTTCATCATGTGATCATGAAAAAGACGAGGCGAAACAGAAGTATGCAGGATACAGTCACACCTATGTTTGGTGTAAAATGGGTCGAAGCAGCGCTCGTTCAGTGCACTGGCAGCGATTTAGTGTACAAGCATTTGAGAGATGAATAGCTGTGGTCTGGTGCAGATTGAATCGGGCAGGATGTGGTTTACAGTGCAATTTCAGGGAGAATAGATGGAAAAAATATATAAATCAGTTACTTTGCAATAGCCTTGTGTGTGTGTGTGTGTGTGTGTGTGTGTGTGTGTGTGTGTGTTAGCCACTGTAATGTGCAGTCAGTTTGCGCTGTTGCAGGTTATGTGTCCCATGGTGGGTGTAGATCTAAAGTAGGGCGTAGCGGTCTTTATGGTCTTTACCCCTCTTTTCTCAGAGCTGTGTATAAACTGTTTGAGCAGGCAGCACTGGTGCTATGAAAGATGCAAGTGTTGTAGCACAGGTTATTTTTTAGCACATAAAAAACATAAACAGCATATAAAAGTTTTGTATATAAACATTCATTATGAGAAATACACAGATTAATTTTCTCCACATTAATAAAAGGGGGCGCTATATTAGGACTCAAGTAGCGTTTTTCATTACTGAGTGTGAGGAAACCCACACTGCACCTGTGGTTGGAGTTAAAATAGTTTACACATAGTTAATCAGTTATTTTAACAAAACAGGCTTAGGTTAGCGAAGGCAGTGTGCCCAGCAGGGGGAGCCTCAGCTTCCAAACGTAGAGATGTGTTTAAGGAGAGCTTATTTTTCCAGCAGGCAAACATATTGAATCATTGCTGGCTTTATGTATGACAATACAGCTCCAAACGAAATAACTAAACAAGCATTGTGTACATCACAAGGCCCTTTGTTTACAAACAGCTTGTTCTCTTTCATATTATATATTGTGTTCATGTTACTTGATGGACTACAACTACTACAATCCTGGTCCTGGAGAGTTTCGAACCAAACACACCTGGCTGTAACATTCAGACACCCCTAAAGGTCATTACCTAGATTAAGGTTGAAGCTGAACTCTAAAGGGTGATAGATCTTCAGGCTCAGAACTGGACACCCCTGCTGTACCATTTCTCATTTTGGCGATTAAAGGAGTGCTCACTGGCGCCCTCTATGCCCCTGACTGAGTCATTCTATGAAGAGAGTGCACAGCATGTTTACAGAGTTTGACGCCTTGTATTAGAGACAGAAAGCGGCTTTATATCACGCGGAAGGCAGAGGCAGCAGTTTAACTGTTTTTGCCAGCTAAAAAGTAATGGGTTTGGTGGGGCGTGGAGACTGGAGGGGGCACTGCCCAACTAAATGACCGGATGTCCACTAGACCGAGGCCACCCCAACCATTTGATTACATCTGCTAATGCCTCCAGTAGGAGTAAGCATCTTCTGGATTCCTGAAAAAATATCTTTTTTTATGTGACACTGCTGTTTTGTTTGTCCATTCTAACTTGTTTTCAAACCTCAGAAAGCTAAGCTGAGCCTTTTGGAGCCACGGCACAATGATACTGCTAATTCCCGCTAGCACTCCTATGGGATTTATGTTAGCACCAAGCTAGCAGGGGTTTTCATGTTCCCACTCTGGGTTCAATACTACTTATTTCAGCAGACCCGACATGTGAAAATGCATTAAGGTAAAACATTCTTTACTCACAGCAACACATTCTTTACTGTTATACTTTAATAGCACATATTTAATAGCAGACTTTCAAGAGACAGAGGCCACACCAACCATCACAGAGTACGGCAGAGACCATCTACTACTTGGAAAGCTGATAAATGGGACGCCGCCTTTAGCTCTGCAGGTAATTCTTTCACACCTGGATGGAACCCAATTTACACCCACCCGCCATCTGCTAATGCCTGCAGTAGGAGTAAGCATGTTCCCGTAACCTTGAAAAATCTGTCATGAAATATTTTGTACTCATCATTTTTATGTGATGCCACTGTTTTGTTTGTCTGTTCTAACTTGTTTGCAAAGCTCAACATACTAAATATCCTGATATATATATTATATACTGCATTGGGAATTCTTTCCAATATCGTGATGTTCTGTTTTTGCCATTGTCGCCCACTCTTGGCCTCCAGGATGCCACCTCCTGATGCCTCCATGCCACCACAGAATGACTAGGCTCAGCATAGCTTGGTTACTGGAAACTGTCCTGAAATTCCTGATTATGTTGGACTTTATAAAGCAGCTCCCGGAAGAGAGTGAGAGGAGGTGAGGATGCTGAGACGGAGAGCAGTTATTACAGTAAGACTAAGTAAAAGCCTGTTTAGCTGAAGTCGGTGGTCACCAACCCTTCTTCCTGGGGATTTACTTTCCTGCAGAGTTTAGTTCCAACCTGTATTTAATACACCCCCCCCCCAACTCACCACAGGTCCTAGCTGGAGCAGATAGACCTCACAGTAAGGTAGATGTCCAGGACCAGGGATGGTGACCACTGGCTTAAGCTGTTTTTTTTTTTTTTTTAACCACTTATATGGCCAAAGTTTTAATACACACGTCTATAACCTAAGAATAGTTCAGCCAGTTTGCATTGAAGTCCCTGTTGTTACTGAATAATAAGCTTTAGTATGTAATAAGCCTGAGATTTTAAGGGGTTAAGGGGTTTCCTTATGCGATTTGACCCTCTCTGCTTGTCAAAATGTTCTTAATATTAATGGACATTAGTAGAGGGCTGTATGGGCAAAAATGAATATTACGATATAATTAGGATTACTGACCGTCTCGGTATAAATCACGGTATAGTGAATTTATGTATATTTTTATATGCTTCAGTATGCTTTTGTTGTAGATCAACAATGGCATATTATTCTGGACATCCGTTCACTTATTCAACAACCGAAGTATTGACCGTACATAACCGTAACAAGATATAGGTGAGGGTGTGTAAAGCCAGATCCTTATTCGCCAGCTTCTTGTTCAGATTTTCCCATTTAAACTGAAATAGAAAGAGGAATGGGAAAGTTTGAGAATCCTAAAACTCAGCTGAGAAGCTGCGGAGCCTCTCGACCTGTAGGCCGAGACCACAGTGTCGCCTGAAGCAGCTGCCTGAGCAGGGAGCACCGTCGGCAGCACGCACGGATAGCCAGCAGATCTCCATGCTAGGCTAATGGCTAATGGCTAACCCCAAGAGACTGGCTTTTCCTTCCACTCTCTTTTTCTCGTTAACTCATTAACTCGTTACAGTCTGGACTGACTGACCTCAGGCTGCAGCTCACTACACAAGACCTGAGGGCATCAGCATGTTTTGCACTGCTTGTACGTCATGTTGTCTGTGTTTATCTGTAAACCGGTATAACAGTAATTACAAAACTAAAACCTTAAGAAGAATTTCATCTGGTATACCTCATGAACCAATATATTCCCCTCTACAAATGACATGTTTTCTTTGTCTTTTCGCAACAGCTCAACATAATGAAGACAAACCAGATGTATCTGGGGGGAAATCAGTATTACTAGGTGTGTTAAATACCATCAGGGCAAAAGATTTGCTGAGAACCTACTGGAGCAAATTCAGTTCTTTAAAACAAATGATCCATCATTACAGTAAAATATATTATTATATACGTTATAATATATAACGTATTCTTTACTTTTATACTTTAACAGCACAATCTTAATATCAGGCTTTCATCAATAGACAAAATAAGGCAGAGCAGTTTGAATAACAAACACATATCGTTGGATTGTCAGAATGATAATGTACTTTAATGAAACTGTTTGAGGTTTGGTTTGAGTGACTGGGGTTTGCACTGCCCTGTTAGTCAGCGTAACTCCTTATTGATCGCTTGTGTCTCAGTTTGGAAAGAAAAATACGAGAGAACAAGGAAGAAAACAGAAGGCTGTAGTTAACGGTGTCTGGACAGTGTAAAGGTATTAAGAAATAACTTGTGTTCTTGCGGTTTTCATCCACGCCCATGCTACTCACCCTCCAGTCTAAATATTACACTAATGCAGTGGTCAGATGGTGGTAGCGCTAAAGCTTCATGGCTATTTCCAGATCAGAAAGTATTTCAAGCTTCAGTCTGAGTGCTTGGTGCAGCTGCATATACTGGTATTGTGATTATAGAGCTATATATTGTGATGTTTTTCAATTATAACAATTCATTAATGTGTCAGTAATGTGACACTGTAAAGATTAGCCTGCAATGTTTTGACCAAAGTAATGACATACCTTCATTTCTCAAAATATCCACAAAAAACTGTGATTGGTCACATAGTAAAAAAGGAGAAAACACTGATTGGTTGGAACTTTGGAACTGATTTATATTATATCCAGGCTTGGGCAGTACGGCGGAAATACGGTGTTCCATGACGATATTTAAAAATGATGACAGTATTTCAAAATTATGACGCGTCAAATTTCTATTCTACGTCTGAACAGATGAAATAAACACATTCTGCCCATTTATATTTTAGAGGGCTCTCTGACTGGTGGTGTGGGAGCTCACCAGTAGGTGGCGCTAACAGAAGGAGGAGGGAAATCAGAGCCAGGAAAAACCTCAGAAAATCTGAATATGATAGCAGCTCAGCCACAGCTTCGCACATTAGAGCCACACATTTTCTGCACACACTACAGAACACGTTCAGTTTCAGCTTTCACTCCAACTCCAGGTACTCGACTCATTTTTCCGTTCCACCTTAAATTGTGCAGCAGTTACTTTATGGCGGATCAGACTTCAGAATGTAACTGCTGCGCCGTTTTAAGACTAAGAGACCCTTATTAGTCCCACAATTGGGAAATTTCACCTCCGCAGTCCAACCTATCTGTGCAGTGAAACACCACATACACACTAGTGAAGACACACAGTAGGGCACACTTGCCCGGAGTGGGGAGCAGTTGGGGTTAGGTGTCTTGCTCAAGGGCGAGCAGTCACGTCGGCTCAGGGGATCGAACTGGTGACCTTCCGGACGCAAGCCTGGTTCCCTAACCTCCAGCCCACAACTGCCCCGCAAATCACAACCAACATGGGGCACGAACCCACGACCTTGAGATTATGAGTCTCATGCTCTACCGACTGAGCTAGCTGGTCACTCCATTTAAGGTGGAATGGGAAAATTCGAAGCTGGCGAATAGGAAGATAATATTAGCATCATAAAAAACAAACTTTATTGAGCCTAACCAAAGCCAATTTAAGGGCCATATGATATGATCATAAACATCATGACTATCATAGCAAAGCTAATGCTAACCAGCTCCTCTCTATCAGCACTGTTTAAGACTTATCTGTGAATCAAGCACATTGTCAGAAGTGGAACCCAGTGTCTTATTGTTGTTGTAGCCAATTGACCTCAAGGTGTGATGTGTTGGGTGTACAGAGATGCTTTTCTCTGGTTTTTGTAGGACTTTTTCCCAATTTTCTCTCCACTGTAATCATGTCTAACTCCGCCCGCTAGCCAGGTCAGTCACATGGTACTACCAACTGTACAAGAGTGCAGGCCAGCACATGCATCCTTCAAGCCACGTGAAGCCAGTGTCACTGGACAGCTCGACAGACTTGGAGAACGCTGACTGAATTCTATTACATTAGCTAACAGACAGCCTCGCTGGCTCACATAGCACTGAGTGGGTAGAGGGAGGACTGTGGGGGCTGCGGCATCAGGACCAGGAGCTGGATGATCTCCTGATGACAGGGCCAAGGTTTAGACGGCGGGTGAAGAGTGATTACTGGAGTTACTGTAGCCCCCACTGAGCTCAAACAAGTCTGGCTATTCTTTGCTGACCTCTCACTTCAACAAAGCATTTCCACCCACAGAACCGCTGCTTATTGAATGTATTTTGTTCTTTTTGTTCTTCTGTGTAAACTTTAAGGGCTGCTTTACATAAAAATTTAGAGAGATCAGCAGCAGAAATACTCAAACAAACCCTGTTTTGTACCAACAACCATGTCGATGATCACATTTTCGTCCATTCTAATGTTTGATGTGAACGTAAAATGAAGCTTTTGACCCATTTTATGGATGGTGTGCACTGTGCTGCTGCCACATGATTGGCTGATTGGGCAGTTGTTCCTCACAAGGTGGCTGATACAATACAGGTGGTTGTGGGGAGTCTGGAACCTCTAATTAACTTCATGGACCCCCTGAATGCCTCAAAATCAAAATTCTGGGGGGTCCCTACAAAAACGTATCATGACATAATTGGGAAAAAATAGACAAATTCAGAGAAAAGTCATTGTTTATCTGCTTCCCCCACAATCAGCTTCTGTCTTTGTTGTTCTTAACTAACTAGAGCTGCAGCGCTGCTCTGCCTCAGGGTGGCGCTGTAGCAGACTGGTTCACCCAGTTGGTCCTTCATAGCCTAGAAACTGTAACTCTGCCCGGATTCCTCTGAAAAGCTTTACAATGAGCTGCAGCAGATCTGTAAATCTGAAAACTCGCCCAGTTTCCCAAGAGTTTGGAGTGAAGAGTGACTGTTCCTCATTTCTCACACTGAAGACAGAAGAGGAGACGAGGAAGATCTCAGCTAATGTGAGGAAGAGCGCAGAACCGCACTAGAACAGAGACTCTACAGAAGAGGAGACGAGGAAGATCTCAGTTACTGTGAGGAAGAGCGCAGAACCGCACTAGAACAGAGACTCTACAGAAGAGGAGACGAGGAAGATCTCAGTTACTGTGAGGAAGAGCGCAGAACCGCACTAGAACAGAGACTCTACAGAAGAGGAACTGATAAACAAACACTTTGATGCCATTGTGGCATCAGCGCCGCTATGGTGAGTGAGTTAGCAGCCCATCAGTCCTGGAGTAACCAGCCAATTTGGGACCCCCTGAATACCAAGCGGTGTTTCACACACTGCTGATAAGTGTTTATTTATGGTATCACCATGATGTATTGGGGACAGAGTGTGTTTAACGTTGTCAAGCACATTTGAGAAATGAGAAACATCACCTGAAAGCACACGAATCCACACACAAGCACACAAACCCACAAGTGGCAGACGAGTAGCATCTTTCCTGACGCTTCTGCTTCCATGCCTAACGCCTGTTTACCACTGTGCACTGACCCCTAATGAAGACTAACAATAACTAACCAAGCCAGAGAATTTGAACAGTGTCCTAAATTCAGCACTGAGTTGAGTTGGTAGTTTAAAACTGACAGTCAGAGAAACTCTCCCACACACAGTCCTGATTATTTGGCTGGTTTCATGCGTCATATCATAAAAAAGGTACCAGACATTTCCAGACAAAATTGCCTGAAAATTGAGACTTGCATGATTTGACTGACGTTTTACTGCCAGCTCAATTTCCGGTTCACTACATTCTTTCAAACGGTCTTCGAGAGAAGAAATGACATTATATTATGTGGGAGAGACTCTTTAGACTCCTGAAACAAAATCCAAAAATAAGGGTCATTATTTTAATATCATGCAGTTGTTCAGTCAGAACCAGGTAAATGAAACCTGATAGATAGAATTCCTCCAAAAAATTAATGACAACATTATGATCTTTGGAAAGAACAAAATTTGTTGTCGTGCTGTTGTTGTTGTATAAAAAGTGGATAACTACAGGTGCGTAAATAAAAATCTGAATTAAATAGAGTATTGCCCACGCAGCCCTGCGATGGACTGGCGACCTGTCCAGGGTGTATCCTGCCTTCCGCCCAATGACAGCTGGGATAGGCTCCAGTACCCCACCGTGACCCAGAAGGATAAGCGGTTTAGATGATGTATGTATGTATGTATTGCCCACGCACTGTTAAAAAGCCAGACAAGCAAAAATATATGTTTTTAATCCATTAAATATAGTATAAGAATAAATGCGTACTAGAATGAACTAGGATGACGTGTCTGGTATTCTGTCATTTTGAATCGGCTAAACATTCTCTTGTGGATTTATGTTTCCTGGGTATCTAGAGAGGTTTTGATGCAAAGAAGAGGGGAAATTGGGAAAAAGATGATTACAGAGGGAGGCCTTTTGGATCTGTGAACTTATATTTGTTTCCTAATGGTATGAATGAAGATCTCAATCTCAATTCACACATTTCCACTGAGCATCAGTTCATCTCATGTGAGCTCAAGCCCAGAAAAATCGGCGGCGTTTCTGGATGTTATTGATATATAACTTCCACTTTGTACAGACTTAACCTGCATTTATGGATGCAGGAACGAACTGCGCTTATTGACAGCAGTTTGTCAAAATATTCCTCCTATATATGTAGAGATTATAACTGTAATTATCTACACTGTAGAAACACCTTTAAACACTTTATAATTAGAGTGCAGGATCAAACAAAAACATTTGAGGCTAAACAATCAGACATGCTTTCAAATCCTTCAAATCCAACTTAGTGGTAGGTATAATTCCATGGAAATGATAATGAAGTAGTGTAGAGATCTAGGGCTGAGCGGTAGAATCATGATTAAAATCAATGCGTGCAATTATCTCACCATGACTCGTCTAAATAAAGGATAACTCGTCTAAATAAGGGGAGCAGAACACAAAGCTTGGCTGATTTGTTGATATTAAAACAGCAAAACAAACGATTATTACCGAGGGAGGCCTTTTTGATTTGTGAACTTTTGGGTCATTTTACAGAAACATACATTTTTGTGTCTCTAGAGTTTACAGATATATTACACTTAAAAAACATGTTAGGGTTACGATTTATTCATGATTTAAAATAAAACAATCTGTTATTTTAACAATTACACCTTCATGAGCCTCAAATTAGCAATATTGGTTTATAAATCGATTATCTAGAATTCTAAGCACCACAGAAGAGCTCGTCCTCACAGGCATGTGTGAAGGCTGAGGCCATATTTTGAGGAAAAAACATGTTTTTCTGCTATTTTAACTACAATAATCTATACATGACTATGAAACATGATTTAAATGACATAAACAAATGGCAAATAAATATTATAAATTATATAATGAAAGTTGTCCCCAGGAGTCGTGTCACTGGTGTTACTGAGTAACAAAATCTCTTATTTTGAAATAAAAGTCACACCGATGACATCACTCGACTTCCTTTTACCTGTTGTCTGAGGATCTATGAAGAAAAGCTCATGGTGAGTCCACTGTGTCTTTCAGTTATCAGAGATTTTCTCATTCAGCTCATGATTTCATATGAAGCTTTTAGCTGAAGTCACTGGTGTGACCGACTTTATTCTGAGGTAACTGTGAAAAAATAGAACACAAATGGATTAAATTCCATATTTTAGTGGATGTTCCATGATTGACTACATGTGGTTTGATGCTCTGTAGCAGCCATTCTGTACAATGTATTTTTCATTAAAAACGTCTCTGGTGTTCCTTTATTATGTGTGACACCAATGAGGATCAGTAACACCAGTGACTCCTATGGACAGATAGAAAAGTGGACGTTTCTGTAGAATGACCCTTTTATCTTTGTTTCCTAATGGTAAGAATGAGGATCTCAATCTCAAGTGTTTTCTGTAAAAAGTTTTTGATTAATGTATTATTCTGAAATGGTTTCTGATGTTTTTCATGTATTTGATTTTTGTTTTTGCAGCTGAGAATATCCTCTTGCTGGTGTCCTGACGCTTTAAGAAGGTCTTAGCAGAACCTACAGATGAGGGCAGTTTATCTGAGTCTTCAAAAGTAAGCAGGTTGAGAGACTTGCTTTATGAGCACTGACGATAGTGAGAAGCTGGAGTGTTTGCTGGGTTTGGGTCTGTTTTTTTTTGTACTCTATTTACTAGAATAAAGAAAGCTACATTTTTGCTAGACAGTGTGTGGGCAACACTCTTTCTACATCATTATGATCTTTTCCTATTACTCTCTGTAACATGTGGGAAAGAAATAAATGTCTTTTTGAACATTGTACAAACCGCATATCCAGAAAAGTTGGGAAAGTGGGTGAAATGCTAATAAAAACAAAAATAGTGATTAGTAAATTCTTTTTGACATTTATTACATTCAAAATGGAACAATAATACTGTAACATTTGATCTTGAACTTTATTTTTGTTTTTGTTTTAAGTGGTAAAATTGACTAATTCTAATTTTGATGGCTGCAATGTGTGTAAAGAAACTGGCACCGGAGCATGTTTACCACTGGGCTACATCAC